TACCGCACCAGGCCAAAGGCAGTGAAATGTGGTACTTTCACTAAACTATTTTATTTCAAATTTTAAACGCAGGGACGGTAATCATTATGAGAAAAATAATTTAAATCAGCATTTAATCATTATTTTATGAATTATTATTGAGTTTTATTTTTTTCGCTCAAACGGAAATAATTATTATTTGATTTTTATTTTTGGGATTACAAATAATGATTATTTTATGGTTTTTATTTTTTCGCGCAGNCATTTGTGATTGTATTGTCCTTCCTTCAACCGATCGTATTTAATATAGAAGGGAAATGTTTCGACAAGCCTGATTAGAAATGTAGATCTAAGGTGACGAATTTATAACAGGTTGGGAACTGCATATAAAAAATGGATGCAGATCGAACTAGATCTCATCTTTCGAATTAGGAACTGGTTTGGAACTAAAGAAAAGGGGATGCAGAACGAACTAGATCTCATCTGTCGAATTTGGAACTGAGCCGGAACTATAGAAAAGGGATGCAAAACGAACTAGATCTTATCTGTCGAATTTAGAACTGGTTCGGAACTAGAGCCAAAGGGATGCAACGGGGGACAATTGACACTTCCTAGGAGATCGCAATGTTAAATTCGCCAGTCGCTAGCATGCAAAAGAGAATTAACGCGTACTAGTCATGGTTCCAAATGCACTAGAACCGAACCAGTTCTGCACTAGTTCGTTTCCCTACAGGGTGGTTCCCCCGTCTCAATCATAAGCAATAAAGATTTAAGAAAGTATTTCGCCGACATTCAATTGAATACCAGTAAAACGGAACTAGTAAGCTATTGCGGAACACCTTTGGAATGTCTGGGCTATAGCTGGGAGCGAGTTTCAATTGAGAGATGTGACAAAATACTGAAACTGTATGTAGTGCGCTCTGACCGCAAGCCACTTCTAGGCAGAGAATGGCAACGCGAGATTAGACTAGAATGGAACAAAATAATAAATAATGATACAGTTAGTGTGCAAAATATTAACCAGATACAGCAAAATCAGAAAAGCAGTCAAATTGAAAATTTAACTAGTAAATATCCGAATGTGTTTTCGACCACTACCGGAAAAATTAAAGACTTGTAAGCTCGTTTTTACCTAAAACCTAATGCAGCGCCGAAGTTTGTGAAGCACCGAAGAGTTCCTTTTCCATTAATGGAAGCAGTGGAGAAACAATTGGATGCACAATTAGCAGAAGGTCTTCTTAAGAAGGTTGAAAGCAGCGAATGGGCTACGCCAATTGTCGTGGTGCGGAAAAAGGGTGGTGGAGTCCGAANAAAAGGGTGGTGGAGTCCGAATATGCGGGGACTATAAAGTTACGCTGAACCCGGTTTTATTGGTCGATGAACACCCACTACCAACAGTAGATGAGCTGTTTAGCAAAATGGCAGGTGGCGTACGGTTTTCGAAAATCGACTTGGCAACAGCATACCTTCAACTAGAGGTACATCCAGACGATAGGCACCTTCTTACGCTCAACACGCACAGGGGATTGTACCATCCAACTCGTATGATGTTCGGAATCGCCAGTGCACCGGCAAAATGGCAGCGATTAATGGAACAGGCTATAGGAGATATTCCGGGAGTATCGGTCTTTTTGGACGATATAAAGGTGACAGCGCCAGATGATGATACACACATAAAACGTGTCGAGGAAGTACTTAAAAGGTTCGATCACTACAGCATGCATGTTAACTTGGAAAAATCTGAATTTTTGAAAGAAAGTATAGAATAGTGCGGGTACGTAATAAGCAGAGAAGGCATTCGTTGAATGAGCAACAAGATCCAGGCTATACAGAATATGAAAGTTCCAACAAACCATAAAGAAGTTCGTGCATTCATGGGGCTCGTGAACTATTATGGCAGATTCGTTAAAAACTTAAGCGACATAGTTCACCCAATCAATAGATTGCTGCAAGACAAAGTGACTTGGTCATTCGACAAAAAGTGTAAAGTGGCGTTCGAGGAAATAAAAAAGCAAATGAAATCAAACGTAATTCTTTGCCACTACGATTCAAAGTTCCTGATCACGTTAGCTGTGGATGCTAGCCCAATCGGGGTAGGGGCGGTCCTTAGCCACATGTATGAAGATGGCACTGTGAGACCGATTCAGTTCGTGTCACAGACTTTAAGCAAAGTACAACAACGCTATTCGCAGTTCGACAAAGAGGCATACGCTCGTTACAGATAAGCGGGCGATATCACAGATATTTGCACCTGGCAGAGGGATACCGATAAATTTAGCAACTCGTATGCAGCATTACGCGTTATATTTGGAACAGTTTGACTACAAAATCAAATGCAAGCGTTCGAAAGAGAATGGGAACACAGATGCTCTTTCGCGGTTACCCAATGCAGCCACATACGAACAGGTGGAAGAAGTTTACGTGGTGGAAGAAGAGTTGTTCGAAAATTCAAACTTCAGCGTGAAACGAAAGCGGACGAAACAATAAGATGACTTTATGAGGGTTTGAAGTATGGCAGGAACAACACGAATTTACTTACATAACGACTGTACACTGAGGGGAGTGCGCGTATACATTCCAAATAATCTACGACAACACACGGAATTGCACACGGCTCATTTCGGTGTGGTCAGAATGAAAAGTTTGGCCAGAGCCAACGTATGGTGGTATCAAATGCATAAGGACATCGAGAATGTGGTGCAAAAGTGCATTGCATGCCAAGACACCCGACCAGACCCTAAAAAAACATAGCCAGTACACAGTTGGAAAACACCCGGAAAAGTTTTTGAACGAGTACACGTAGATTATGCCGGTCCGGCAATGGATAAATATTTGTTTATTTTAATTGACGCATTTAGCAAATGACCGGAAGTTCATTTAACTTCAAACAACGGTTGAAAAATGTCGCGAGATATTTGCGCAGTTTGGTGTACCAAATATCTTGGTAAGTGATCACGGAAGACAGTTCAACTCGACCGAATTTCAAAAATTTTTGAAGGAAAATGGAGTCATCTATAAGCAAGGAGCACCTTATCACCCAGCAAGAAACGGTCGAGCAGAACGTTATGTACAAACGATTAAGAATAAACTTATCGCAGCAATTGAAAAGCGAGCTTTCAAAGATACTTATAGCTTACTGACGAACCATTCACCCAGTAACCAACAAATCGCCATCGATGCTCATGCTAGGGCGGCAAATACAAGCATGTTTGGCTTTACTTTTGCCGCAAAATGATCAAACGAAATTCGGTAAGACGCTACCAACAAAGAGGATTGACGTAGGTGAAAAAGTAGCAGTTACCTGTCAAAGCCCAAATGCAAATTTGGAGTAGCTGAGGCAAATAAAGGCGATTTGCATCATAGTGTCAGACTCGACAACGGTCGGAAATGGATGAGACATATCGACCAAATGCGAAGGTCAAGAGTATCAAGCGACGATACGCCGGAAGCAACAGGAATGCTAACGGGAGGTCCAGTCAGCGAACAAATGGGTAGAGCTCAGAAACATTCATTATCGTCACATCAGACTCCAGATGCGGTCACAAATCACTCATCGCAATCATCATCTCAACCACATCAGCCTGTTGAGGCACCACCTGAAGAAACACTTCGTGGAAAGGGCGGAGAAGAGGCTAACAAAAACCTACAGTCAGACACATCGCAAAAGCCGACATCGACAACAACAACACTGCAATCACCCGAGACGATGCTGCGCCGTTCGCAAAGGCAACGTAAAATACCAAAACGTTTATTATCATAAATATGTATGTACATTAGAGTGGCACAAAAAAATTAAGTTGGAATTTTAATGCCGGCACCACCTAGGATTGTTCTATATCGAAAAAAATATACCCCTATTTTTTTATTTTGAAATCAAAAAATATTTAGGGGGTGCTCAAAGCGCTCAAATTTTTCCATGTATTTTATATGGAGAAAAAGCTATTTTTCGTAGAAATGGTATAAAACTCTTAAAAATCAATATTTTTCAATCGAAAAACTGTGGTTCTCTTCAGGAGATTTCAGAATTAATATCCAATTGTTTATTTAACCATTTTTTATGATTAAAGATTTTTTCCATTGCATTTTCTAGGGGTTTTAGAGGACCTATAAAATATAGGTTCTATGAAGAAATTGTTAAAGAGACAATTGCGTATTATTACTGGCAATCTCCTGAAGATAAGAAAAGTTTTCCGATCGAAAACTGTTGATTTTCAAGAATTCTACTCTATTTCTACGAAAAGTTGTTTTTCCCCCATATAAAATACATGGAAAACTTTGAGCGCTTTGAGCACTCCCTATTTTTATTTTTATTTTCAAAAGAAAAAAATAGGGGTATATTTTTTTTTCGATATAGAACAATCCTAGGGGGTGCCGGCATTAAAAAGCCGACCTTATTTTTTTTACATACATTTTTGGAACTCTTGTAGCTCCTGTTACTGAAACATTGTAAACCTTAGGGGAGAGGGATGTTATGTACATATGTATATGAAAGATACACTTAGTNATTTTCAAGAATTCTACACTATTTCTACGAAAAGTTGTTTTTCCCCCATACAAAATACATGGAAAACTTTGAACGCTTTGAGCACTCCCTATTTTTATTTTTATTTTCAAAATAAAAAAATAGGGGTATATTTTATTTTCGATATAGAACAATCCTAGGGGGTGCGGGCGCTAAAAATCCGACCTTATTTTTTTACATACATTTTTGGACCACTTTAGCCTACATACACGGGCATGTACAGAACCATGGTACTGGGCACACCGTTCNCTCTTGTAGCTCCTGTTACTGAAACATTGTAAACCTTAGGGGAGAGGGATGTTATGTACATATGTATATGAAAGATACACTTAGTCACTTAAGCATAATATTCTACGTACACATACATACACACAGACGAACGAATAACGAAATGAACACTAGGTAAAACACATGTATCACAAACGAATATGTAGAATAAGGTCAGTCGCAATCCAACCATTGTAGCGAGTTTACTGAAATATATAATACTTTTATTTACCACATCGGCGGTGGTGAAAAACTCATCCACTTCCTCATCAATTGGTGAATTATAGTCCTCAAATGGTTCATAATCGTCGGTATATGAAGGCTCTTCAAATACATCTTCATTGTATGTGTAATCGTCCTGTGGCCAAGCATGCAGCGGTACGGGTAACATAGCCAACCAAGTGGCGCTCATCGATATCAAATATTTCATAAGCCACGTGGAAGCGCGGTGTGGCTGCAATGAAGCACTAGCCGCCGTATAAGGATTATCGGCATCCGAACAAATTCCTTGATAGTCATTAACCGTGACACGTTTGTAAATGCGATCCTGTACCAATGAATCCATTATAGTGCCATCGATTTGTCCAAAAAATTTTCCTGAATGATCGCCTTGCTCGGAGATAATAACAAAGCCATTATTGTCCAGCACATAGCAGTCGAGATCATCTGAGGCACAAGTGCGACGACAGCCTGTCATGCCGGTACACTGGAAGAAAAATATTTTCAAGGTTTTATTATTACTTTGTTTATTCCTCTATGTACGCACGGTTGAGGTTATGTTTATAAAATGTTTTGCCAAAGAGTCCAATTGAAATTGTAAACCAACGACGGCGGCTATGGCTTTGTGACCACGATGTTCAAGGAATATCGCGTGTGAAGCAGTAACAAGTGTTGTATTCAATTTTGTCGCATAGCCAGTAGCGAAGGGCACACTATAGACAAAACTGTCTTGTTCGACGGTATGCTGATCTACGGCACGTTTGTACCAGGATGTGCTCATGGCGCGGGCATTGTCCTCACTGAAATGGCTGTTAAGAAAAAAGTTAGGGGTGATTTTCCACTTGCAGCATTGAGCATTTAATATGTCGTAAATTCTATAGTGAGAATATTGAATATTGCTTGGTTTAATAACTTACGGATCAGGCGAGTCCTCTGGTCTTTTCATGTGATCAATCCAACGTAGAAGACCCGAACGCGTGGCAACGAAAGAAGTGGCAACCAAAAACTTTTGATAACCTTGTCTGAAAATATATGAACGAGCTACTTCAGCAAGCTGGAAATAGGTATTCGACTTCAAAGAAATTTGTTAGCTGGACAAACTACATACAAGGGAAAATGAGCACAAGATATTCCTTTTTAACTCTTTCTCGTGTTGCTACGAACTTACATACTAAGTTTGTGCAAAATACAAATATATTTTGTCTAAATGAATACGAGTTAAAAGAGGCTATCTCTTTGCTCATTTATATGGATTTCTCAATATGTAAAGATTAGTAGCAGAGAAAAGACATCGTTAATCGAGGCAGCTTTGTTACAGTGTTCCTTTGCATGGAAGCTTTAAAAGCACAATACTATGAAGAGAGCTTTCACTATGTTTTCAACTTTTACATTTTGGATTACAAAAGCTCGAGGGATGCAGTTATTTCAAATCTATAGCTTACAACGACCAACGTGGCTATAGGCAGCAATAGCTTACGTTTTGTGTGTTACCAATATGTAGCAGCGTAGCAATAAATAATTCGTTTTGAGTTTTTGTGTAATTTACCTCTTAAGTATAGCCATTAATGTGGCGATTGGACTAAAATTATTTATAAATATTTATGTTGCATACATTAGGACAGTTTCATTCGCGCGTTAAAATTTGCATTCAAACAGATATGATTTTTCAGAAGAAAAGTTAATTTGTACATGAAATATAAATTATCGAGAAATTAACCAAACAGAGTTTACCAGAAAGAAAAAAAGAGCAGGAATATAAAAAACAAAAGAAATTGGTGCTTTAGTGCATATAATATTTTTTTTTCATTAAACAATATAGAGAAACAAAATGTGCTTTATGATTTTCGGATACAAACATAAAGAAAATTTTTTTGTGCTGTAAAATGTGCATCAAGAAAAGAGATAAGAAATCAATATTCGGTTACAACCGAGTTGTTTCAAGCTAGTCTGCACAAATTCGCAAACATGAGTAACTTAATATTTCGAAATAGACATCAGGTTTTTAGGATCCACAAATAAGCACTCAGTCGTTCTGGTTCCATGAATATAAATAATCATGCATTCTTGAAAAAAAACTTCACTACTAGGTCGATCGTGAGCTTAGTGGACATTCACATTCGGTTAGGGTTCGGTAACCCAGGGTTAGAAGAATGTGGAGATTGTAGATAATACGACGCTTATTTACACGGACGGTTTAAAGATGAACAATGGAGACGGATTTCATTTTAGCTACTGAATCACTGTAGGACTTTTCAAGATGGAGGATATAAAGTCGCCTTCCCTATGTTCACAGCCAGCCAGATAATAATAAGGTTCTGCACTTATGTATATACTAGCCAATGCCCGCTTGCTTCGCTGAGCGTAATAAGATCTTTTGCGTTGGCCAATACAAAAAGAGCGTTTAAAAGCAAAATCGGTCTGTAAAGTAAACATTTTTAGTTCAAATTGAAACGAATAAAGAGCAGAATCCTCCTGACACAAAGGCCAAGAATAGTAGCGCTGTGATACCATATCGAATACTAAGCTTTCGATGTTATGAGTTTTACCGATGGTCTTATTTCCACCTGCGTAATATTCTTCTCTGACCTTGCAACTTCAAC